ACAGCCCAGATTCAGATTCCAATGCTAATTCCTTCATGTATAAACTGTAACCTTAAGTGAGTTGTTTAATCTCTGTGAATCGTTTTATCCTCAATAAAAGAGCAGTAATAATGCCTACCCTACATCTTGGTTAAGACAATAAAGGACGTGAAATTAAGTTCCTAGCTCAACTGGCAGTCTGTCCCCCCAAAAGACAGATTGATTAATTGATAGACTCTATCAATAGATATATTGATTAATGAATGTTCCACGTAGTCCACCTATGAAGACTAACGAACTTATGCTAAAACAAAAGAAAAAAATAAGTAGAAGAATAGATTGCTAAAATTGGTCTAGTCCTTTGCTTTGTGCAATGTTATCTATAAAAACAACAACAACAAAAATAACAGTCGTCCTTTTCTGAACTTTTACTGGTACATTTAAAATACTTTTTTGGTTAGTAATTGGCTTTACATATTTCCTTCACTTTCTTTATTTACCTGTTTATAAATTCTACTCTGTTTAGTTTTATGTCTTACATACATCCCCATCCACTAAGAATGATTACCTGCTGTATGAACCTTGTCTCTATTTACTTTTAATCCCAGGTTATAAATATTCTTTACACCAATATTTAGACAAAATAAGTGAATACTACATATCGTGGTATAAAGAAGTTCCTCATTCTTACTGGAAATGATCATAAGGAGAAAAGGAAGAAGTTTCCATTGAATTAATATTATTTATGTTAATAATATTTTTAGAATATTTCATAATATTAATTAAGATAAGTAATTATTAATCAAGATTAGGAACTAGAGTAATCAATGTTTCTTTACACCCAGAAAACAGCAACAGCAGAGGCCGTTCCCACTTCTAGGGTTGAAGGAGAAAGGAGAAGAAATTGTTCCTGGAGTGCTGGAGGCCTCCAGAGGGAGGGAAGGTCAGGAAGAGACTAAGCTAGGGCCAGTGGTGCAGCACTGCAACAGGAGAGTGTGTGATACCCTGCCCCCTCCCTCCTCTTTCCTGTGACCACCAGCCTGACCTGCCAGTAGGTGGAGCCCAAATGAAATCCAACCAGCAAAGGACTGTAGTGATATAACTTTGGGATTCAGCCTCCATGGGCTCAGAGAAGGAAGGAAAATGGAGTCTGTTGGGGCAAATGGAGAAAATCCAGAAAAAACAATTTCCATTTTAACATGATAAATGGAGATTTTTAAAGATATAAAATAATTCATCTCAAGCCAAACAGCGGATGTGTGGAGCAGGCATTTAAACACACATCTCTGTGACTCCAAGCACTACAAAGGAATCATCATAACTGATTTGCATGAATGAACTGATGTTCAGAGAGACTATGAATTATTCAAGATTATTGATTTTAGTGGTATTAGGTGCAAGACTAGAACCCAGTTCTCATTCCTATTGTGGTGTTTGCTTTCTTATGTTGACCTAAACAGCGGATGTGTGGAGCAGGCATTTAAACACACATCTCTTTGACTCCAAGCACTACAAAGGAATCATAACTGATTTGCATGAATGAACTGATGTTCAGAGAGCCTATGAATTATTCAAGATTATTGATTTTAGTGGTAGTAGGTGCAAGACTAGAACCCAGTTCTCATTCCTATTGTGGTGTTTGCTTTCTTATGTTGACCACTGAAAGAAATTTAGCAGGTGTATATCCAGCCTGTTCTGAAATAGACAAACATAGAAGTGAAAGCTATCTGCCAACCTTAAAAGTCATTTCTTTCTGAAAAGCTTGTGAAATTGTAGGTTTCATGTAGAATGTTTAAATGGCATATGCTATTTTTCCAAGTTGTTGGCACATTTTTGTCTTGATTGCCAACACTCAGATCCAGCTGGTGTCATGTGTTAGAAGGGGGAGGAAGACAGGACTGAGAATTAGGAGATTTGGGAACAAATCCTAGCTCTGCCATTCCTAGCTGTGTAGCCTTCGGCAATGGCACCAAAAATATAAGTTCCTTAAAACTTTTATTCCCTCTCACATTCACCCAGATCTTCACAGTTATTCTCAGGATTCTGATTGGGTGGCCACAACTGGTAAGGTCAGGGAGGGTGTTAGAATTACATTTGACAAAGGAAGAATCAGACTCAGAAAGCACTAGAATCTTACTGAATATACACTGTTGTTGGAAGTGATTAATCAATTTACCTCCGCTGGACAGCCAATTTATAGTGTTGAATCCATTTGGTTTAATCAAGTCATGTCTAGAACTAAGTCTGAGAATCTGTGAATTTTGTCCTAGGGTTATAAACAAGGCTACAGAGGATATCAATATAGTTAGCACCTAGGGATTCATAGTTTCTCATTTTTCCTTTCCAGGTTTTAGATGAATAAATTTATTACCGATAGCTTTTCAGAGACAAGATTTATATTTAAATTTTTTTAAAAATAAATGTACATAGGGAAACAAACCTAAGTGAGTTAATATAGTCTCATTTTCTCACTTCAATCCTGGGTGAGTTGGGTGTTAGTAATTGAGATTCAGACTTCCCCACTAAAAAAAGTGGGTTGCCACTCCTGGAAGGTCTGGCAAAGAACCTGAATCCTTCCCAAAATTGTTTACTTTGTCTGCCTCAAGGTGGGAGGCCCAGCAAGTAACACATTTCAGGTCTCTGTTACTCTGAGCTTCTCATTCTCAGCCCTGATCTCTGCCCCACCTCCTGATTTTCTACTTTTACAGTATTTTCAGGTCTTCAATTTTTTTCTACCTTTTCAGTGTTTTCAGGCATAAAATCAGGTGTACAAGACAAAAAAAGTTAACTTGCTTTATTTTTTGTATCTGAAATTAACTTTCAAGTTCCTATTTCACCTAGCCAACTCCAAGAAAACCTATAATGCAAGAATTCTAGTTTCAAGTTTAAAGCTGTAGAGAAGTGAAAAAGAAAAGAATAAAGATAAAAATAAGTATAGATGTCTGAAGTCTGAAAGTAAAAGAAAGGAGAAAGAATGTACATTCTACTTTTGATACCCTTTGTAGTATGGCAAAAGTATAAATGCCTTCAAAGAAAATAGTTTCGTTGATCAAAAAATCTAGCCAAATTATAACATTTTATCTACTATAGATGGTTAGTGATGCTTTGGCAAAGCTATTTTATGATTTTTATGATGTTTATACATAAGGAAGGGTGGAAGAGCAATACAGTCCTTTCAGTATTTAGGAGAATAGACATGAGCCAGATGACCTGGGTACAGATCCTGGCTTCATCCGTTTTTACTTCTGTAACCTTGGGCAAGTTACTTACCCTCTGTGTTTTGGTTTTCTCCTTGATATAATCAAATTATAAATATTATCTATGCCATATGGATGTTTTTTGGTTAAACAAGTTAATATTAACAAAAATGCTTAGAACAATACTGGAACATAGAAAACACTACATAAATGTTAGTTGTCATTGGAAAAAACCTTTCCACCACCACCACCACCACCATCATTGATTTCTGCAACACAGAGACTCAATTCAGTGTTTCCATCTTCTAAACTATAATTATTTAAAAACATAATAAATGGTCACTAATTAAAGTGCTTCACAATTTAGAATCATTTAACCAAAGAAATAGTAACATATGCATGAATAATGTGCATTTATCCCTTGGAACATACAGCCTACCTCAGACTTTTCGTTTAAGATTTGGTCACCCTTTCTTTCTAGCCTATAGTATATTGAATGTATAAAAAGGTTTGTTCACAGTGATTCTTGCCGGTTTGGTGTTTTTACACTAAGTGTGTTTTCCCAGGGTTTTAGGTTAGAAACTACTGACAAAGAAATACTCCAGGAGTCAGAATTACACATAAATTATATGGTACAGAGGTGTCTTCTTATTACCAGAAGTCAGGTCAGAGTCTCTAAAATCATATTAAGTTACTGTTTTTGTGGTTATTGAGTTTCACCCTTGAGAGAATTAACTGGGCCAACAATCAAGTGTAATAAATCTTACTCTGACCCAAACATAATTAGTGATTAAACTTACCATTACCAATCCCAATTCTTCTAGATAAAATAAGTAGAAAACCTATATTTTTCCTCTCTTTTCATTTTCATATTTAGAGAAGTAGAAAAACGTTTTGCACATTACATGGAAATAATTACTTATATTTGTCAGTTTAATTAATTTAGGGTCAATGCCTTATTTATATGCTTGGGTCTATAATTGGAGAATGAGAAGGGACCAGGAAAAGGGTGAGACTTCTTTTCTAAACACAGGAGCACTTGGCTCTCTATTTTTTAATTTTTATCTATTTTCTTTGTCTCAATCTTCAGCCTCTGAGCCCAACTTGAAGGTGCGGTCCAGGTTAAAACAGAAAGTGGCAGAGAGGAGAAGCAGCCCCTTACTCAGGCGGAAGGATGGAAATGTTGTCACTTCATTCAAGAAGCGAATGTTTGAGGTGACAGGTAATTGAGGATTGGGCAGACATATACTAACAAAACATGCTGGTAGTAGGAATGAAAAAGAAAAAAAGTTTAGAATAATATACCTGCTGAATATTAAAAGTTATTTTGAGGAGAAATATTTATTGGAAGGAAATTATATTGAAAACTCAGAAGTAGTTCAGTAAACCTTGCTATGCATTAACCAACTGTGTTAAACAGGAAATGAATGAAAAAACAGAGCTATGTGTCAATCAAGGCATAACTAGGGAACACCAAAGCTCACCTTATTCTTTTCAGAAACAGGCAGTCCATTTTGGGAATGCCAACCAGGCAAATATAACTTTTAATGAAATTTGATCAGAAATGAGCAGAGGGAGGTCCAAGAAGAACACTTCCCCCTACTCAGACATGAATGTACCAAATACATCTGGGAAAATTAAAATACGTGGAGCAGCAAAACCTTGACTTTTCAACAAATTTACAGAACTCATAAATGACTTTATGTGTTTACTAGTGAACTGGGACTTATGGCAGAAGGGGGATATATTGCTTTTTATGAAGGGGAAGAAATTGTCATTTTCACTAGTCTCAAATGGAAGAGTTCTTATTTTTTTAGCTGCCTGGTTAGTAGTGGGGTGAACAGGTTAGGAAATTCAACCTGATGTCTTACAAACCCCCCTAGTCCCAGTTGTACCTGGTCTGAAATTAGAGAAGACCTAAGGATACAAGAATGAAAAAGGCTAACCGAAATAATAATACTGGCTACTGTTTGTTGAGTATCTACTTAAAGATATGCATTGTACCTGGTTATTTCCTTTGGTTACCTCAAGAAAGAAGTGGTAACCTGCAACCATTTTTCTCCATTCTCAAGGAAAATTGTACCAATGTAGTTAGTTGGTATTAGTTCTCCAAGGTTAGATCTTATCCTTAGCCTGTTTTTAAGTTTTGTTTTCTCTTCCTCTTTTAGCCATGACAGTGTTTACTTCAGAAAGGCAATTTGGTTGAAGATTGTGGAAGTGGAGGTGGAAAAGTGTATTTAGGTATAGTGTGACTTAAAAGTTTGAATAGATTAATTAGGAAAAACAAAATTTTAGTCTTCTATTCAATCCTAACAGATCGATATTCTCTTCTGTAGAAGAATGTTAGTGATTACCATGGGATTTTTTTTTTTCCTTGAGGAATAAGAAATAGTGAAGAAATGATCAATAGATGAAATTATTTTACTAGGGTTTATATTTATTTTTCTGTGTGAAATATAACCACTAATTTAGAACAATTGCATTCTAAGTTCACAGTTATAGACAATTTTTTTCTAGAAATATTATTAAGTAAAAATTTTAAGTAAGATTTTCTTATATGAGTAGAGGTCCTTGGTTGAGGAGTGGGGTTGGGAAGTGAACTTGTTATAATTAATTTAAAGAATAAGCATATCAATTGTATAGTGTAAATGGAGATAGATTGTTTTTCTAATTGGAGAGACTAGTTTTTTGCTAGTTTTTCTGCTTTATAATCCTAATATCTAAGGTCATATTTATTTATCCCAGTATCTTTTCTATTTTCCTATTAGTTCATTTTCTTGATTATAACTTTTTCTCTACAGTCACTTTTCTTTCTTACCAAATTGAAGTGGAATTTATCTCAATAGTTATCTGAGTAATGATTACTCCTCATTATAAGGGTTATGATATGCCAGAGTTTTACCTGATTTGCTTTACATTTAAAATATAATATTTTTATCTTCTTAATTTTGTGAGATAATAAGTCCCCTTTTTTATGTCAGGAAATAATGTGTATTTGAAGAGAGGCTTGTGCATTTCTTAGACACACATTTCTGGTCAGTGAGTTGGGACTAGTGAATGCTTTGGTAGATTTTTTAAACTGACATGCTGCACTTACTCTAAATGTCTTCGGAGGCTCTGAATTACCAGACATACAGCTGTCCTCACCTGTATTCCTTCCCATTTCTCTGCCAACTTTCATGTAATTTGGATGACCTCTGTTTGGATCTTACTACTAGTTATCTTTAGTATCTAGTCAGAGACCATAATAACATCATAGCAGTTAAATTCCCATTGCTGATATTCTCTCACCTTTATATCTTTTCTCTCTTCCCCGTTTCATAGGTTCAAGTGTATGCTCTTTGCAAACCCATGCTACCTTTCTACTCCCAATAGTTGACACAGAAGTCATTTACCAGCTTCCTCTTTTTCAAATTCAAGGGTTTTCTGTCCCCCTTCTGCCATGTTCTTTAAAAATTCCAAGCATCGACTCATCCCTGTGTCTGTAATGCCTTCTCCACCCTCCCCTTCTCCATTGCATTTCATGAACTACTCTTCTTCAAGCTTTGGTTATCATATCATTTCTTCTCTGAGGTTTTGTCAGTATTCTCAGAAAATCAGTTGCTACCTCTCCTCAGGTCCCGTCCAGTGTGATGTTGTAGAATACACTATTGCCTTGAATACTAATGTTTATAGCAGTGGTTTCTATGTAAGAAAATAGTTTGGTCTGAATATCACATAAAATAATATAAATAATAGAATTAAAAATTGGTAAGACAGCATGTTTAAGATTTTTTTTTTTAATGTGGAAATGGGAATGAGATATTAAGGAGAAATCAGTACTTAGTCATATTGGAAAGACAAGAGTTAGGAGTTAGGGAAAAGACGCTCCTGTAAAAGTTTTAAAAACATGTTCATTTTCTTTGTTAAAAGTAAACAAGGAAGAGGCAAAGATTTTTAAAAAGTATATTAATCGAAATTTAAGCAAGACATATAGACAGAAAGTCAGTGAGAAAGATGCATTTATATATTTTATTATTCTAATAACTTGTTCAAATCCTACAATGAATAAGTGGCAAGACCAGAATTCTACCACCAATCTCACATTCCTTCCAGTGGCATTGCATTTCTGAGTAGAGAAATATTTGCAGTTGAAAGCTGGGAATTATTGGTGTTCTGAGGGATGAAAAGAAAATATTGCCTGGAAATTGGGAGTTCCCATTCTCTGATGGTGCATGAGCCGGGCTTTGAGTTTACAGGTGGGATTGGGCCTGCAATGAAGTGGAGAGAAAGGAGGATAGAAAAGTATGAAATGGGAAAGTGTTTGCCACTTAGGAGAGTAGGTGATTTAATTTGACTGACCGCAGAGTGCAGTAAAGGCAATAGAAGGAAATGTTAGGCTCCGTTTTGGTGCAGAAGGACACAGTGAAAGTTGTCTCAGTATGATGCATTTGCCAAGAGTTTGGAAAAAAGTTTTGAGAGACTTCTGGAGCGACTCTGAAGTAATAAGAGACTTTTCCTGTAGTTCATGAGAGAATAACAAGGGCTTATACTGAAATGATTGTAGTCAGACATAGATGAGAGATCATGCGAAGAACAAATGGAAAAGACCTCATTAGATTTGGGGTAAACAAGGGAATGAGGATGACTTTAAGGGCGGTGATAAGTACAGAGATAAGCAGAAAACATTTAATATTGGAATACATTGAAGTTGACACCCATGTAATGGAAGATTAAAAATGCCCAGCATTCCAGAGGAATTCAGGCTGAAATTTATGAAAGCTAAAGGCAAGAAACTTTCACAAGAGTGCTCTGCCTTAAAATAACATTTGAAGTTATGATATTGAGTGAGTTTGACAAGGGAAAGAGAAAAGGAATAAGGCCACAAACTTAGGTGAATTTATTTAGGAATTGGTAGAAGGAAAAAAAGTCAGGGAGATGTGAACAAACATGGAGGTGGAAAACATTATTGAAAAATAGGATATGGAGAATGATGGCTTTTGTCAGAAGCCTTCAGATTTGGGGGCATTTGAGAGAAGAGTTGCAGTTGGTAGTAAGCCACGTTGCCAGGGCTAGAAGGAATGAGTAGACATTATGAGAGCACACTACTTCTCAAGAATTATTAGCATGCTGTCAGACTAGAGGGACAATTCCAGTGGAGAAGCAAGGCCTGAAGATTCCGAATAATTGATGGAACAAAATTCTCAAACTACGTAAGGGGACAGCGTCATGGGTGAGAGTAAATGGCTAGTCTTGGAAAGGGGAGAAGAGGAGAAATGCTTTACTTTTGAAATGGGAAGGGTGAGGGAGAAAGAAAATCTGCTGGTGGAAATATCAGAAGTATGGTTCTCAAATATCAGAACTCTCTGCAAAGTATGAGGCAAGGTAATGTGTGCAAAACTAGGTTGAAAGATGAGGCAACTAGAAAAATTTTGAAGTGAATGAAGGTAAAAATTAATTAGAACCCAATAAATAATTTACAAGGCTTGATAAGATGACTTCTCTAGCTATATTTCTAGAAATCGGAAATTTATATATATTTTTAATTAGATGTTTAAAATTTTATTTGTTAAACTTAGGGAACTTCTCATCTTCTGGAAAATAAGTTGGGTTGACTTAAGGTCAGATGGTGTTTTACAAGGCCATCAATGCGATGTAGAGATTCTACATTCTATTGCATTTTCTTCATACAACTTTGGTATAGCCTTGGAATATCAAGTAAAGAGCAGATTAAGACACAGCATTTGAGCACTTTTTTTCAGACACAACAGAAATGGCTTTGGGTCTCATGTCTAATGAGTTAGTTTTTTGGTGTGCACAGGTCATTATATATATATCACTGTTATTTTTAATGATAGCAAAAGAGCAAATGAGAGAAGATTCCTTTTTTTTTTTTCCTCATCAAAATCTTCTAGTACCCTCTCTAACAGCATGTCATTACTTCTCTAGAACTATTAGATACTACCTCGTATTTTGTGCAGTGAAAACAAAGGTGGGGGGGAAGTGGTATGAAAATTCAGAAGTGCTTCAAAAATTTTTATAGTTTTTTCAGTTTAGTGAAGTGTGGTGCTTGTCGTTCATGTAGGGGGAAGATAAAATATTGTCCAGTGCTGTGTATTACTTACAGTAACTAAAGTTCATCTTTGTATGTTTTTCATGAATATATTTGTACTTCACACTATTTTTCAGAATCCTCAGTCAGTAGTAGTTCCCCGGGGTCTGGTCCCAGTTCACCAAACAATGGGCCAACTGGAAACATTACTGAAAACGAGACTTCGGTTTTGCCCCCTACTCCTCATGCTGAGGTAAGACCCTCATTATTTTGGTTCTTTTAAAAATTGGATCCCTCGTTAGCTATCTAATACAAAGTGATATTTCTCAGTTGAATTTTAATATCCAAGTGATATTTATGAATTGTTCCCTCCATTTCACAGGATATAAACCTATAAAAAAAAACTGGTAGTTATTAACAAATATAAATATTATAAGCCTATAAGGAAAATAATTGACATTTTAATTAACTGGTATAAATAAACCTATAAGAAAAATAACTGATATTTATTAACTGATATAAGTAAATATTGGTTGTTATGGACCTGTAAGAAAATAATTGGTATTTATTAACATATAAGTTACTTAAATTATATAATTATATTTAATTAAATATCAGCTATTTTCTTATAGGTTTATAGTTTATGGAATTGCATAAACTTGATCTTATTTATAAATTAGACAACCAGGGATGTTTGGATGGCAATCAGGGTTTGAAAAATATTGAAATGTAATCCTCACATAAAACATTCTTAGTGATCCTGAGTGTGCACTTTCCAATAGTTGTACAATGTACTAGTCCTTCTGCTTGGTTGTTGGTTATGTTGATGACAGCAGACTCATCAGTAAGTAAAGACAACTTCATATAAACTTTTCACAAGAATAACCTAGCAAGGTGGGTTTATCCATGTGACCTGAAGAATAATGAAAAATAATTGGAGTGTTATACTCGAGAGAGAAAGAGAGAGGTCCGCTGAGCAAGCATTTATTAAGTATCTGCTATATGCCAGTCATTTTGCTGGGCAGCAGGGATATAAAGATGGACAAGATATGAGAGTGTTATACTCGAGAGAGAGAGAGAGAGGTCCGCCGAGCAAGCATTTATTGAGTATCTGCTATATGCCAGTCATTTTGCTGGGCAGCAGGGATATAAAGATGGACAAGATATGAACTTTGTCCTTGAAGTTGTTAAAGGAAATTCGTTTAAAGTTACACATGATTTACTGGAATCTATATTACAAGACTAAGAGGAAAGTGAATGTGGGAGTCAGCAAAAATTTGTCCGTGTAGCTTCTGTATTTAGGGTAAGCAAAGGCAACAGACTGAAAATAGCCACTCTTGGGGAATCAGTTGCTTTGAAGTCACCAACCACTGACTGAAAGCCTTAATTTTTCCTTTCTGTCATTATAATGTTTTCTTCACTTTGCACTGCTCTGTGCAGAGAGAGCTGGTGTGATAAGTTCTCATAGATAACTGTGACATGCTTCTTCCTTTGTATTTTATAGTCATGGTACCTAAGGGCTCAGAGGGACTGGTAAATCTGATTGTTAGATTGCCTCTATAGCTTTCCTGTCATGTGACTATCCAACCTCTACTAGAACACTTCTAATTATAGGAAGCTCACTTCACTGTCTCCTGAGGCAACCCAGTTGATTTTTTAACAGTTATTTTGACTGACAGAAGTGTCTTCTGTTCATTATGCCAAAATATCGGTTGCAATGTACTTTCCTTTATATCGTACACACACACAAACACACACATATGCATATATACTATAAATTACTTATAAAGTTATCAGGCCAAAATATAAGTGAAGACAGCAACCCAGAAGTTATCCTTGGTAAGACCAAGACTGAAGCTAGTGAAGCCACTTCTGCTCTGAAGACATTTGTGTACTTGAGTTTTGAACTCTGGTTTTCAAGGCCTTATGAAACTGGGGAGACAGAAGATAAAGCCCAGTAAAGACCAAGGAGGATAATATAATAGGAGACTGTCCAGACTCTAAGCTGGGATCTCAAAAGCCCGTGATCCCAAAAGCTACACTTGTGTGTCTCCTACCCACACTCCCAGAGCTGTCTTGATGCAGAGTAGCACAAGGGGAGGATTCTCTCCCTGAAAAGTTGCAACCGCAAGTTAGTCCTTATGGATTTGTAGCCCAAATCACATAACCTAGAGCCTGTTAATTTGTTTTAAAGTGGCTCCATACTTGTAGGCCCTCAGCTGTCTGCGAAAAGCAAATGTAAAGTCTCTATGGAAGTATGCATCTTTATTCTAGATTACAAAAATTTCCCCCAAATAATTTTCCAAGGAACATGAGCAGGGTAGATAGATACTCTCACTTATGACCATCTTCCAGCTACTTGAAGTATAACATTTTGGGCCTCTACATTATCTCTGGCTTCCTCATCTGTTTTCTTGTTTCATACCATCCTGTTGCCCCTCTTTCTCTTTTTCATTATCTTTTCAAAAACATGATACTAGATGGAATAAATACTCATGTATGTTTGAAACCAGAGATGTAAATGGGATTATTAGACTATTGGTTATAGGTATTGTCTGTTGGTTAGTACAAATATATGTCAATATTGGTCAGTGTTCTGCAACCCTTTAATCAATTACCAGTAAAAGAACAACTTGGCCACAAGTTTTTTTAAAAGAAAAAAAAAACTTTAGATTTCCATTTCCTCTCAGTTTCAAGAATGTGATTCTCAATAATCGCAGAAACACCAGTGGATTTGGGGTCTAATCAGTCCCTGGATGGATTTTGTGCCTTGAAAAATGAAAACAACACAATACAGCTACATTCAACAATTAGCATGTATGCTTCTTAGAAATGCACTATCACGGCAATAAGTTTCAGAAGACCACTTACAGCATTATAGTATTTTATTAGGGCCAGAAACAGCAATACAATGTTTTGATTGGGACTATGTAGTAAAAGTATATTTTTAAAAGACAAAAGAATGATGAATACAAAATTGAGCATGATTTCAGGATGTAGAAAGGGGGAAAATATGTTTTGATAGTTACTAAAGTCGCAATACATATATTCCCTCATTATAAATACATATGTATGTGCACGCCATTCTTAGTACAACATATAAGAACAACCAAGAAATATGCATTGGTGAGATTAGAAGTACATGGAAAAGGTGACATTTTCTCTTTAAGCCCTTTATGAACTATTAAATTAGATTAAATGAGTGTACTAGATTGTGTACATATATATGTACACAATGAAATATATATATTTCAGATATATATTTGAAATATATATATTTCAGATATATATTTGAAATATATATATTTCAGATATATATTTGAAATATATATATTTCAGATATATATTTGAAATATATATATTTCAGATATATATTTGAAATATATATATTTCAGATATATATTTGAAATATATATATTTCAGATATATATTTGAAATATATATATTTCAGATATATATTTGAAATATATATATTTCAGATATATATTTGAAATATATATATTTCAGATATATATTTGAAATATATATATTTCAGATATATATTTGAAATATATATATTTCAGATATATATTTGAAATATATATATTTCAGATATATATTTGAAATATATATATTTCAGATATATATTTGAAATATATATATTTCAGATATATATTTGAAATATATATATTTCAGATATATATTTGAAATATATATATTTCAGATATATAGATATATATCTGAAATATATATATTTCATTGTGTACATATATATGTACACAATCTAGTACACTCATTTAATCTAATTTAATAGTTCATAAAGGGCTTAAAGAGAAAATGTCACCTTTTCCATGTACTTCTAATCTCACCAATGCATATTTCTTGGTTGTTCTTATATGTTGTACTAAGAATGGCGTGCACATACATATGTATTTATAATGAGGGAATATATGTATTGCGACTTTAGTAACTATCAAAACATATTTTCCCCCTTTCTACATCCTGAAATCATGCTCAATTTTGTATTCATCATTCTTTTGTCTTTTAAAAATATACTTTTACTACATAGTCCCAATCAAAACATTGTATTGCTGTTTCTGGCCCTAATAAAATACTATAATGCTGTAAGTGGTCTTCTAAAACTTATTGCCGTGATAGTGCATTTCTAAGAAGCATACATGCTAATTGTTGAATGTAGAAATATATATATTTCAAATATATATCTGAAATATATATATTTCAAATATATATCTGAAATATATATATTTCAGATATATATTTGAAATATATATATTTCAAATATATATCTGAAATATATATATTTCAAATATATATCTGAAATATATATATTTCAAATATATATCTGAAATATATATATTTCAAATATATATCTGAAATATATATATTTCAAATATATATCTGAAATATATATATTTCAAATATATATCTGAAATATATATATTTCAAATATATTTGATTGTATTGTGTAAATCTGTTTTATATTCCCAAGACCTTTACTGTTACAAATAACGTTTAGATGCCCTAGCTTTTCAGCTAATTTTTGAACATATTCTGTCACTACAAACCTTTTTTTTCACCCCCACCATTAAAAAAGAAGAAAAACAAAACAGGAGGAAATGTGATTTAATGGAGTCTAAAAGAGTAGAGGTATTTCTTCAGGTCAGTGACAGGACATTCACCTCCAAAGCTGAAAGGCTAGTTCAAAAGCAAGCACTGACTTACCTCATAATGAATTAATTGTGTGCCTGAACTATGATCCAAAAGGCCAGGTGGGCAGACCTTTATGCACTGATGGGTAGCCTCTCTGTGGCCCAGAACAAAAAATGCAGTCCTGATGGCTAACATGTGGTTTTCTGCTGCATTGCATTTACAGAGATCTGTTGTGTAATTCATTCTGGATAGGTGAGGAGATAGCAGAATTCAGACTGAGACTGTCAGCGAATTAATATCCTAGCTTTGTAACCCTAAAAACTTCCACCTAAACCAGAGGAGAAAAAAAAATATATTCTCAGCCCTACTTGATTAACCATCATTTAGAATTTACTATGATTTTTTACAGATGTCTTTTAAGATTAATATGTGATTTCATAGCAATAGAAATGTGTTGGGGGTGTGAATTAAGTACATTATTACACTCTTAGAAAATTAGTTGTATACTTTACCATTTAAAAAATAAGAGCAATATGGGGCCAGCCCCGTGACTCACTCGGGAGAGTGCGGCACTGGTAGCGCCGAGGCTGCAGGTTCGGATCC